ACTAAGTTAGCAGATATAGCTCCTGGCAGTGATATGAAGAAGTGTTGCGATTATTGGAAATAACTAGATTCGGGGTTGTATACTTCAAACTATATCCATTTTGCCTTGTCTTGGGTAATCTAAATACATTGTATAAATGTCTAATGTTGAGATTATGTATCTTTGGTCTTAAGAAGACATGTTTGGTGTCTCACATAGAAGGCAATATACTGTAATAGAAAAATACAGATCTATATATTTGGGATTACTAATTTTTTATACTAGTTCTGCCACATACTAGCTAATACTCTTTGGTAAATTTTCCATCGCCCTCTGTTTGGTTATTTGTGGAGATGGGTGTGTTAGCATATGATGTTCAGCAAATATTATTTTTCTTTATATGTATTACTTGATTATTGGCCCTCAGAAGCAGGTGGTGATTTTTGTCTAGTTTTTTTCCTCATCTTTTTGAGAAACACAAATGAAACTTGGCTATTGTCATGGTGCTTTTTGTATTCATTATTTTCAGCAATTGACTTATGTTAAAACTATTTTTCATGATAAGTCTTACCTTCAATTTTGAAAAGAAATCTAGCTGAGAATAATATATTTTACAATATTTAGAAATGTTTGTAACTCTGGACACTTACTTTGCTCCTTGCCATGTAAAATGAAAATAAATCAGTTTATTCTAAAGTTAATGTCTTCATAACAGTCATAGGGGAGGACTTAATTGAACTAAAAACTATTAGATATTATCATCGATGACTTTGGAACAAAAAAATTAACTTTTTTTATCTTTGCAGCGTTCTGCCCTAGGTCCAAATGTTACCAAAATCACTCTAGAATCTTTTCTCGCATGGAAGAAAAGAAAAAGACAAGAAAAGATTGATAAACTTGAGCAAGATATAGAAAGAAGGAAAGCAGACTTCAAAGCAGGGAAAGCATTAGTGGTATGTTCCATACTCACCCAACAGAAAAGAAGATTCTCTGTTCTTTCTTTCATCTTGTAGTTTCTACGTCAGGCAAAGTTTTATCCTTATTTAATCATGTGTATGTCTAAAATCAATGACCAAGAAATGTTTGAGTTTTGTCCTGAGTTGATATATGTGTGTATCTGAATAGATCAGTGGTCGTGAGGTGTTTGAATTTCGTCCTGAACTGGTTGATGATGATGATGAAGAAGCAGATGATACCCGTTACACCCAGGGGACAGGTGGTGATGAGGTAAGAGGAAACCTCATTTCCTCATGTTGATTGAGGGTGACAATAGAGCAACATAATTAAGAGTCCCAGCTTTGGGGGCCTTGGTTCAGATCCTGACTCTAACCTGGAAATTACCTACACTCTAGGCCTCCACCTGTCACTCGTGATAGGGACGTAAAGATAATCCCGATAATCCCTACATCGCAGGACATTTGTGAGAATTAAATGAGTTAATAAGTTTATATTAAACAAAAACAGTCATTCCCTAGTGCTTTTCAAAAAATCTATTTAAACAACAAAAAATAAGAGTTGGAAAGATGTTTTTCTATATTTTTGTACCAAACTTTTATAATTATCATTTCCTTAGATGCTATCTATGTGTGTATAAATGGCTTTTAGTGTACTTCAGCAATCACTTCTATAACCCTTTCTTTTATATGGGAAAAATAAGACACAAAAAATAAAGAAAACACAGGATATTAAAAAAAAAGTTTATATTTATTTATAGTTCTTTATAGAACTTAGGGCAGTGCCTAATATATAGTTAAGCTTATGTATATTAGCTGTAAAGTATGTTATAGTCTCCCTCTAAAAGGAAAGTTTTTTGTTTAATATTTTATACTGAAAAAATCATGAGACAGAGACACTAAAAAGTACAGAGCAAGAGACAACAACAATTTGGTTGTAGACAGCGTTAGTATTAGCAATAGCTTTTCATTTCTCATATGGTTACCATAAAATTCTGATTTCTGTCTTTGAATTGAAAGATTAAAATATACTCTGTATGTAAGTGTGATGTCAGAGGAAGAAACCTCAAATAGGCATTACTGTTCTTTTTTCAAGAAGTTTAGAAAAAGTGAATTTTGGCAATAGTTATTGCTTTCACTTGGCATTAGTAATAATTTTATTTCATTAAGATAAATGTCAAACATAAAAAGCAAGTAATTTATGAGAGCTATTCTTATTAGTAACAGCTTTCTTTTCTGTGTGTTTTTAAAGGTTGATGATTCAGTGAGCGTAAATGACATAGATTTAAGCCTGTATATCCCAAGAGATGTAGATGAGACAGGTATTACTGTAGCCAGTCTTGAAAGATTCAGCACATACACTTCAGAGAAAGATGGTAAGTATGCTAACTTTTGTGTAATTCTAAGAACTAAGAAGCTGCCTAAAGGGAGGTTAGGTTAGGTTGGCAAACTTAGACCCCTGCAAATACCAGAGTGATAACCTAAGTGTGTGGTTTGGCCATATACAGAAGTAGTGAATAGTGGAGGCTGTGGAAATGGGTGGCTGGTTCGATATTAAGTCATTAACTGAAACTTAAGGGACGAAAATAAGTTTGCAGGTGTAGCTAACGAGCTCAGTTCAGGACTTCATGAGTATGAGATGTTTTGGTTGTCAAAAGTGGCACTGTGTAGGATACTGTGTAGACATTCCCAGCAGGAAAAGATTTGAAAGTCATCTGCCTTGGTAGCTGAGAGTAAATGAACTCACCTAGGCACCATACATAGAATAAGAACATTCTAGAACAGACTGCAAAAATCAGTGTTTTAGAATAGTCAAAAGAAAAAAGGCATGGGAAAAACACTGAGAAGGACAGAGAAAAATTAAGAAAGGTTTCAGAAAAATCAAGTAAGATGAGAATTGAAATAATTCTTTCATTGTGATTATGGAAGGAGTTGTAGGACTAGGCTACGGTTTTCCTCGGGACTGCAATGATAATGAGGAATGAGGAGGAAAAAAAAATGAGTATAGACTCCTCACTGTTAAGAACTGAGAGGGAGACACGATCATGAGAAGGACTTCCTAGGATATGGGAAACCTAAATACATCTGTTAGCCAGAGAAAAAGGATCTGGGATAGAAGGAAAATTTGAAGATGAAAGCATATTAGGTATAGAAGCAAGATCTGGAAGTGTGAGCTCAGTTAAGAATGAGAATGGAGGGGAGACTGGCTAGGTGTATTTGGAAATAAGGTTTGCTAATACAGTTTGTATCTAATTGTGCCTTGAGTGAGGAGTTTGAAGAGGACAGTAAAAGTTTGGTACAGTTGGTATGAGAGGAAAAGGTAGAATACTAATCAAGGCAAAAGTGGAGAGAAAAAAAGCTAAACCTTATTTTTACAATAAAGGAATCCATGTTATAACATGAAAAACTGGCCTGCTCTCCTGAAACCTGAGAATGTTGTTAGACTATTGTCTTAATGCCAATCTGCAGGCTGGTTTGCTCCTTTTAAAAGTAGGGCTTTGATGACAGTAGGCACAACTCCCAAGTATCTTAGAGCTTATAATCCCCAAGAATTTGTCATCAGAGATGTTTGAAATAACTAAACTTTAAATTAGGCTATTAAAAATTGTCTTTGTTCAATATTGGTGTCATTGAACAAGGAAAGGCAACATACTTATTTTCTCAGTCATATAACCTGTAAGGAAAAGTGGCTGCGTAGCCCTGGGATTTTTTCTTTTTCTTTTTCTTTTTTTCACAATTTGATGACAAGATGAAATGCTTCTGCATTCACACTCATTAACAGCATTACAAATAGCGTGGTTTAGCTATTATTTGTAAAACCAGAAGCTAAGTAACTGCTTATATCATCAACATTTTTTGATTCCATAATCATTTATTCAAACAAAATGTTATGTGGAATGTTGACTGTTCAAAAATCGAATTGCTAGATCATGTAGAGAACATAAAGTTGTGTAAGATAAACCTTGCCCTCAAAAAAAATCTTGCCCTCAAATGTATGAACCATGAAGCAGTCACAGGTCTACAGTGAAAGCCATATTTTATAATATGTAAACTTAGAAAAAAGAAAAATCAGTTCTTGTTGGAGTAATCTTAGGGAAGGCTTTCATGGGAAAAAAATGTAGAATCAGTCTGTGACTGTCAGTTGCTAATGGAATAGTGTTTTCTTTTTCTAGACTTTATTGATTTCAATTTTTATTTTTAGAAAACAAATTAAGTGAAGCTTCCGGAGGTAGGGCTGAAAATGGTGAAAGAAGTGATTTGGAAGAGGACAACGAAGGGGAGGGACAGGAAAATGGAGCCATCGATGCTGTTCCTGTTGATGAAAATCTTTTTACTGGGGAAGATTTGGATGAACTAGAAGAAGAATTAAACACACTTGATTTAGAAGAATGACACCAAACAAGTCAATGAAAAAATTAAGCTGGCTCAGCATGAGTTGAAATTGACTACATTAATTTTTTTCCACCTAGAATTCTTCAACAGGATGTTTGTTTCCCATGCTGATTGTGGAGGACTTACTCTCCTCCAAAAAAGGAATATTCTCCTTCCATCTTGTCTTCTGACTTTGGCTACATCTCATAGTAAGTTCAGAGTAGTTCATGATAAATTAAAAATATAATGGTCATTGCAGAAAATGATTGTTGTAACTGTCCACTCAAATAGGAAGTGTAACTGCTTTTCCAGCTTTTGATTTTCATTGGGCATGTGTTATTACAGGAACAACATAAATTTAAATTACCCTTCATTTAATGCAGTTTTTAATGAGTGATTTTATTTCCTTTGTATTTATATGTTTAAAAGACTGCCTAAGATATGAGCCTGTGCTTCATAAAGGAAACTGCATATGCAGATTCAGTGTTGTTTATCTTTGGACAATTAGGTGGACATTTAAAATGAAACTTCATTTATCTGACAAGATCAGCTGCAGTGCCCTGTGTTAAACTGTTTTAAACTTTTCCCTTTTCTTTTTTGCCAATAAAATTGTAAATAAAGACCGTGATAACATTAAAATCCAAGTACGGCCCTTTTTTTTAATTAAAGTTTTTTTATGAAAGTTTTTTTTAGCATTTCTGGCTTGAGAGTTTTTTTAACTATCAGAGAAGGCACAGACACTTGAAGGGTCTCTCTTTTATTATTTTTTTTTAAAGGAGTCTCTTAATACTGATCACAGGACTATGTAGGATGCTGCTGTGAGTTTAGTGACACCAACACTTAGCATCAAAAAGAGACCATAGGTCATGTTATGTGAAAGTATAATTCTTAAATTGATAGATCATCAACTTAATTAAGTTATCACCTACAGTTGAACCAAATACTAAAGTATTTGGTTATGGAGATCCATTGTGTTATATAATAGTACATGCTAAAGTTCGATTACTCTGCTTGAGTGTAAACAAATCTATCAGAAAACTTGGCTGGGGTCTTTGACATTGAGATCCCCTGAAAAATTAGGGTAATATATTTTAAATGGACAGAATTTGCCAATGGCATATTTATTACTAGTTATACCTTTTTATCATTTTTATGTATGTATATTTTCAAATATTAATTTAATATTAATATAGTGCTGGTTTTGTTATCTGCAAATATAAATGGATTTTAAGGCAACTAAGATAAATAGCATTAAAATGTCTGGTGACCTGGGCCCTAATCTAATTTCTGCCTCAGATAAATTGTATGATTTACTGAACCTGAACCTTAATTTCTTTGCATAGAGAAGTTAAAGTGCTTCTGAACTGTAAAACCTAGGAAAGCATGATTGTAAATCTTGTCAAATGATAACCTCAGAGTTGATAAGTTGAGTTCCTGGGAGGGGCGGAGATACAGCTCAGCGGTAGAGCACGTGCTTAGTATGTGTGAGGTCCTGGATTCAATCCCCAGTACCTCCACTTAAAAAAAAGAAAAAGAAGAAGAAATTGGAGTTCCTGGCTGTTCAGTACTAGTACTATAATTGACATTTTAAAAATGTAGAATATCGTAAGCCAAGTTTCCCATCTATGGTGGAAGTATACTTTCTATGAAAGATTTGTTCTATTCTTTTTATTAGAAATGTTTAAATGTTACTTATTACAGTGTTTAATAATGAAACATTTTCAATTTAAATTAAGTTTTCTTTAATTAGTTGAGTTAAAGGGAAAATGCAACATTGTGGAAATAATATTTGATACCCACAATCCTTTAAATCTAGAACAGCCTTCCTCTATCTTGCCCTTGAGAATCTTCAGAGAATGCAAAAAAACCATTTTAATCTGAGAAAATGCAAGATTAAATTTGCTTCTAAAGTAACATATACAGGCATACCTTGGAGATGTTGAGGGTTCAGTTTGAAACCACTGCAGTACAGTGAAATATCACAATAAAGCGAGTCACACAAATTTTTTGGTTTCCTGGTGCATTTAAAAGTTTTATTTGCACTATACTGATGTCTGTTAAGTGTGCAATAGCATTATGTCTAAAAAACAATGTACATACCTTCATTTTAAAATATTGCTTAAAGATGCTATCACCTCAGCTTTCAGGAAGTCATTGTATTAATACCAAAGATCACTGATCTCAGATCATTAAAACAAATACTATAATAATTAGTTTGAAATACTGCAAGAATTACCAAAATGTCACACAGAGACACAAAGTGAGCAAATGCTTTTGGAAAAATGGCACCCATAGACTTTCTTAACAAAGAGCAATAAAGTGCTGATACTGCATTTTTAACAAATTGAAGGTCTCTGGCTGACATCCTTGCAATGAGCAAGCCTGTTAGGTGCCATTTTCCCAACAGCCTTATTTTTAAATTATTGCTGGTTTTTAATGTTGAATTTTTTTAGATGTAATACTATTTCACACTTAATAGACTACAGTAAAGTATAAACATAACTTTTATGTGTACTGGGAATCCAAAAAATTTGACTCACTTTATTGCAATATGAACTTTATCATGGTGGTCTGATCTGGAACTGAACCTGCAGTATCTCCAAGGTGTACTTATGTTGTTTACAGTGCAGTTACCCTATCTTAGTGCAATAAATCTGAAATTGGCTCTTGTTTTTCAAACCCATTTTACATATAACTAATTTAAAACAGTTTTTTCTTATAAACTGCTCTTCTATATAATTCCCATTGTTAACATAATAGATCTCTGTAATCTAATTTTGATTATGTAACTTAGCCTCAATTTTAAAGGTTTGTGGTTTAGAAATTTAGAAACTTATAATGTAAGCCTTCCACAGGAGGGAAACTATGGCTTTGCACTTATTTCCTTATAGTTTGTATGAGATCATTTTCCCAAACGTAAGAACTTTTTATTTTCTTCTTAATATCCAGGAGATTATATCAGCCTATACTCTTTTTATCCTATACTCAATAATGATTACAGCCTATAATGATCCCATGTTTGCCAAAATCTTTCTAATGCAAGATAGTTAAATTATAAATTTTGATTTATTTTTGCACAAATGATTTCCATAATACTGTAAGCCCACCATGGACGGACTGCTATGAAATTGTGTAATTGTTGTATCATGTATTTTTAATACTTGAATTAGTCAGTTCTGACCATTAAGTGATTTAGAATATAAGAGTGAAGTTGTCAGATCAGACATTTAGGTGTAGCAGATCATTAAGAAAGTATTGCATCCATCCTCAGGTTTTAACACACAAAGTGGACAGAGGGAGCTTGTGGCAGAAGTTGATACAGGTAAATAATAGTATTCTTGTTCTATTCATATTATTAGTGAACTTTGTATAAAGAACTTTCAGGATCACAGACTACTTCTCACTTATTACCGTTCAGGTCTGTGATTCTGATACATGTACTATTATATTAATGCTTCCAGGTGCTTCACACTGTATGAACTCATATACATACTGCAATGAATGTTTCTCAAGGAATACCAGATGAGAGGGAGACAACCAAAATCTTGTGTTTGGGGTTTTTATCTTTTTTCAGGTACATATCCCATTGGTAATAATTGGTAATCGGTAAAATAGTGTTTTCTGAGTAAAGATAATACCTTGTTTCTTAATTAAGAAAAACTACAGAGGTAGAAATTAGTAGAAGACCACAGCATTTGAACTCTGAAGTAGAATTTAGCAACATCCACAAAATTTCCTGACATCTTCAGAAATAAACCTGAATTGACATTAATACAAAATGCATTTCTAAATACTCCCTCTCTCTGTTTTAATGTTGTATGTTTACCCTTCATTGTTCATTGCTTTTTGTTAATGTGCAAAGAAGGGAGACAGTGATTAGCTTTTATTCATTCAATTAACAGATATTTTTGTGCCTTTTCACAAATAAGACACTTCTGTAAGGCACTATAGATAGCATGAACTATATGACTTAGCTTAAGACTTGGTCTCTGCCTGATTTGAGTATACACTTTGCAAGGGGAAAGTCACAGCTGTGTAAGGCTATGAAATACAAAACTAGGAAATAACAAGTACCTTACCGGTAAGGAATGCCCTTTTCAGTCATTTTGTATTTAAATTTCATTGAATATTTTGATATTTTAAATACAAATATTCTTTGTGAAAATACTGTGATTGACATTGTTCAGGCAAAGGTGGTTATTTTGTAGTTGGTCCTCAGACATAACATTTCTGTGACAGCTGACCTGTTTTTGAAACATGTATCTAAAATTAACTGGTCCTTAGAGACTTAAGCACTAGGACTTAGTTTCCTTAGCTCTGTCTAGTTAGCCTTATGCAGTAATTCAAAAGACAGTGAATACCTTATCACTTCTTTGGCAGTTAATCTTGAGAAGAGAGTATACCAGTGTTTTCAAAGGAGCATATATCAGTTTCAATCTACATGTGCTGCTGTATTTCTATCTATGAATCCTCTGAACTGTATTTTTATCTAAGTCTTAGGGAATTTAAGTTTACCGTTTTTGTGTATTTCAGTGACAGAGGTCATCAGAAACTACTTTTACTACTGTACATATTTTAAGAATTTTGTGATGATGTTACCATATTTAATTGATAGTTGTTTTGAGTAATCTTGTTTATAACTTTACAGCAATTATGAAAATGTATCAAAGAATGTATAATTGAAAATATCTTAGTAACTGAAACTTCTCAAGTTAGAAATACAGTGTATAATAATATACTAATTGTATGGATCACCTGATGATTGTGCATTATTGTATATAATTCACTTAAAATTAGAAAAGTGCAACATAGAAGAAGTGGAATCCACTGCATTAGTAAAAATAATCATCCTTGAATTTTTACTAAGTATTGAATAGATAATGGAAGACTTTAATAACTAAATCCTTTTGATAACTTTTCAAATTAACATGTGATTGAGAAGCCCATTAATTTGCAGAGGTATGCATAGCTAAACCAGCTATCACTCATTCAGTTGTATACAAGCTGA